TACTATGGCCAATCCACCTAGCCTACACATCTTTGGACTGTGGGAGGAAACCAGAGCACCAGGAGGAAACCCACGCAGACACGGGGAGAACATGCAAACTCCACACAGACAGTCACCCGAGGTGTCGAATTGAACCCAGGTTCCTGGCTGTGAGGCAGCAGTGCTAACCACTGAGCCACCGTGCTGCCCCAAATGTGCATGAGTGTTTGTTGGCTCTGTGCTTTAGAATCATTCAGGCTCAAGAAATGAGCTCACTGATGAGCTAAGCTGAAGCTCCAACCCACTGCAAGAAGTTAGACACTTTTTGAGGCATTGGGAAACTCAGACCAGTTGTCCTAGCAAGAATTCCTAAAAGAGAGACACATGCCTTTCCTGCTTCTTGTTAGTAATAGCTAGTGTGCCTAACAGATAATCTATCCTGTATTCAGTCACTGAGCTTTAATAAACTGTATCCTGCTCTCTAAGATAACAGCCTTTTCTGCTTAGAGTCATTTGCAGTTTATCATTCACCACAAAACTGTTTGAAAGCCCCCTATAAGCTTATAAAGAGATTTAGTGCAACATTCTATTCCAACCACAAATGATCTGCACCTTGCACCTGCATTCTCATCACCATTGGTGTGTTCTTTGCCTTGAACATTCAAAATGCTCAATGAGCTGCAATCGGTAACCTTTGACTTCCTGGTGCATATCTATATTTATTAAAGAGACCTAATATACCACATTCAGGGAGACGTTGGCTGAGATTTCAGCTGATTGTGTGGGTATCTGTGTCTAAGCTTATGTGGTGTGTGTGTGTGTGTCTGTGTGTGCGCGCGTGCGTGAGTCTGTCTGTGTATGTGTGTATGTGGCTGTGAGTGTCTGTGTGTGTATGGTGTGTGTGTGTGTGTGTGTGTATCTGGGTCTAAGCTTATGTGACGTGTGTTGTGTGCGTGTGCGCATGTGCGCGCGTGCGTGTGAGTGTGTGTGCGTGAGCCTGTTTGTGTATGTGTGTATGTGGCTGTGAGTGTCTGTAAGGTGTGTGTGTGTGTCTGTGTATGTGTGTGTGCGTCGCTGTGTGTGTCTGTGTGTGCGTGTGTGTCTGTGTGTATGTGTGTACATGGCTGTGTGTGTTCAAAGTAAAGGAGATCAGCAATTTGGAATTTGAAAATTTCATTCCTCAGAAACCAAGAACAACTGTCAAGCCCTGGCAGGTCAAAGGAACAAGACTAACAATAGAATAAAACTCTCAACAGCGCACTTTCTAAGAACATATGTCCTATTCAATGAATCACTTAAGGCACAGTAGATTTAATTTAATTAGCATAATTTTCTGAAATGTAACCTTCATTTTAATAACTTCAAAAAGCAATTTGTAATACAGTTGTACAAGGTCAATGTGACAGAGAGCTGAACTGAAACTAAATCTTCTGTAAAGGGTTTAAATTAAATTTCTATCATAAAACTGGTGTAATATCATCCCCAAAAGGAGACTATCAGGTATTATAATAATTAATGACTGGGAACTTAAACTGTGCCTTTCATGGTCACCCATATTAGTGAAGTATTAATGGAATTTTAGAATAGTTTATCTAACATGTTATATGAAGAGGGGCACGTTATTGTAATCTTCCTAATTTACAGAATACATGTAATTGGTTTATTTCTGTCAGAGGATTACAGCCAACAATGTGCCAGAAAATTACAACAAAATAATGTTTTACACAGCTTGGGTTCTTGTCAAATTTATTTCAAATCTTCAATAAATGCAGAATATAAACAATGTTTACTCGACATCTGCCAATGTCATCAGTTAAGACTGGATATTTCCTCCTTAGATGAGCTCACTGTGAAATCTCATGCTCCTATTGTATGGTTGTTGTCCTGCTGACTTCCAAAACACAGTGAATTGGCAATATTATTTACTTCTTCAAAAATTGCTTTTGGGTTGGAAATGGGTTCACCTAAAGATGAAGCACGCTAATATTAGGTGAAATCTATCCAACATTTCTAATAAATGGTCTCACATATAATAACAAATAAGAATATTTTTAGACCATCTCTGCTGTATAATTAATCTACTTTCATATTTCTCTAATTTGAAAAGATTGCTTATTTTTAAAGAAAATCCATTAGATCACACAACAAATAGACAATGTACAAAACAACTGGAAAGCAATATTAGCAATGAAATCATCTTTTGGGACTTAACTTTCATAACTCTAGGAATAAATAACTGTTAATGTTGCTGTTTAAGGTTTATTGGAGAAATGTATCCATGTATTTTAAAGCATGTCCATTAAAATAGCACACATAGAATGTGACAAGAAGGACTTTATATGTTTGGAAAATAAAATAAGTCGGATTTTCTGCCCAAATGTCTTTCTCAAGTTAATATTAGATTGCTACTTATATCCACAGTTTTATATCTAGAAGTCCATTCCGTGTGTTAAAGAGAACGTCCTGATTTCAGTCCTAAGTTTTCGTATTGCTAAATAAATATTTTGGTCTCAGTCTCACCTTGGTTGTTCATTTAAAAATATTACAAGTGTATCTTTACAATATCTTTAACTGTCTTATATTCTTTAAATCAATCCTCAGGGGTCTACTCTCACAGATGAAAAGCCCAAATTTACCTGGACATTTTATTCAAGGTGTAGTGGATGACAACATTCCCTGAATTGCATACAGCTGGTGGATTAAAGCAAAGTAAAGGAAATGCACAGCAGGTTGTTCACTAGAAGGATGATTCCCCTTTCAGGCAGCAGATCATTGCCAGATTCTCAACTGAAATAAATGCTGATCCTGCCAGAGATGCTCCCATCTCAAATGAATGCAAAGATTCCTGAATGCAGAGTTCATCTTCTTCATAAGGACAATCATCATCCATCACTGAATGCAATGATAGCGGTACAACTCCATAGATATCCTATTCCATTCCAAAAATGACCTGATGTCAATGTTCATATTGGGAGCCGGTATTATTGAGGCAGCATAAATCAGGCATTAAATGTACTGTTTCAGATGGCGGTGGGGTGGATTGTAATGGTGGTAAGTTAAGCTTAACTATTTACATCCACTTGTTTCAAAATATACTTCTGTTGTTCAAGCCAGGTGCCCAAGTGATTCAATATGATAGCATGTTAAATATTAAATTTGTTCTGCTTGAATATATTTTATCCAAGGTGGCACTGAATTGCAAAATGAAAGAGCAACACAGAGCCTGAAGGTGCAGATCAGATGCACTCACACTGCACGTCAGTGGGCCTTTAAAAAATGCATCACTATATTTGTGAATTTGATATCTGCAGGGGATGCAAAATGGAGCTTCATTACTACTTGTGCTTCTCTACAAATGCATATCCTGCAGTTTCTCATGTAATAACGATCTGATGATAACTTGATGAAGTTGTACAAAATTTCTGAATGCATAATTGAAGACCCCAACTTGGCATTGGAGACTGTAACTTACTGGTTTATAAAAAGTCCATATCCATACTCAGTATCAGAATAAAGGACATTGCTACCTTATAAATGATCTTATCATACAGCTTATTAGGTTAAGCAAAGAGAACATAATGATCTACTCAATATTTAGGTAATGCTATTACTGTTTTCAGTTTTATTTTCTGAAAATAACTAAATTGTGAATTCAACAGGTGTGAATTTTATATGCAGTATTATCAGTAAAGTGTACCTAGACAGGCACTACTGTAACAGTATTGATATTGAAAAATCAATCTACCTTCGCTTGGTAAAGCTTTCTGGAAGTGGTTTCAGAGAAAGTTGAAACAGCTTGGAAAAAAAGCCAAAGTGAGCAGATAGACCAACAGAAATAACTCAACAACAGAGCAACTAAACACTTTGGGGCTGTATCTGTACCAAAATGTATTTTACTGTAATTGTTGCATTAATTGGTTAAATGCTGTTAATGAACAAAAGCTGCTGGGAAGTGCACTCTTCATTAAAAGTTGTCTTCATCCCACATAGCATGCACGTCCAACGTTGTGAAGTACTGTATTCAAAATACTTTGAATGTTGACCACAGAACCTTAATGTGTTGCTCTACTTAAATTTCATTCTCAGATTGGGAAATCAAAGCTCCGTGGTCAGAATGTTTAAATGGCACAAACAATGTAACCAATCCTACAAAAGGTAAATACAATTTACTTTAGATGTCAAAACTTCCAAATTGACTATGCACTTTAGAAATAAGTGCTGAAGTCTGGCAATGGTCCTCAATTTCTCATCCTCCCAAGATGCAATCATGACTTAACTCCTGAAATTTTGGTTAAGCCTCTTAAAAAGTGCATCGTGATTATTGCAGATACATCCTGTTTGGAGAGATTTCTGCCAGAAATGTCAATAAAATTGTACAAACTGATCCAGCTGAAACCCAAAGGTAGAAGAATCACCATCAATTGCATGTTGTCTCAAGGAAAGACTGCAACGTTAATAACACTTTTTAGCATTGTTTCAATAAAAATTCTTCATTTACATTGCAATATGTGAAAAAGCCATAATGCTGGCTGAATTGCAATTTTAAGACTGCAGTCAACAGTTTTTTTTAGATAAGGACATCAAGGAATAAAGATGGGGAGGTACAGATCAGCCTTGTTCTAATTTAGCAGTAGACCATGGGAGGATGAATGACTACTCCTGTGGTGTAGATTTGTTCTATTTTAATGCACTAGCTTGGCCAGGCCTAAAAACGTATCCAGAATGATAGCAGAACTCCTTTTTTGTTACTCACAGGTTTTCATTGCATTAAGGGAGAACATGCAGTTCAAAATTACCAGTAATCATGACCAAGCAGTCCCTCACAGAGTGAAGAATCGCCACAAACTTGAATTACCACTTTAGAAAATGACAAATAAAGATGACCGCTTGAAGTGCACAGCAAGCTCCTGCAGTCAGTCAATGCCTAACTCTGCTTAGCAACAATTTCAAGCTTTAACTTGTTTCCATAAAGGCTACACCAGTATTTACACATAAACCTCATCTAAAAGTTCATTACTCACACTATATGGGCCAAATCGAGAGGTTTCTCTGGCATCTCCGGGTAAATAGGATGAGGTGGTTCTCGACTTGGAACACATCCAAGGGACTTGCTAATTGCGTGGCCCAACTTCTTTGCCGGTGATTTCTGTGGAAGAAAATGACAAGTTTAATAAATGAAAACATGGAACTCAAGGTAGTAGAACCCAAGCTCAGCTACAAGACAGAATGGAAGTAGAACAATAAGTAGGAAACAGGAAAGTTAAGTATTCTTTCCTTCCTACCTGGAAAGGAAAAGTTTATTTCACTTTAGCAATTTACTTGCTCGAAGTTGAATGAAATATTAACCTACTGTCATGGAAATACATTAGTGGTTTGTTTTATTCATGAGTGGGAACAATTTCCAGGCTTGGGCTGTGTCGTGATTGGAACCAGGTAGATCTTGTTGACTACAAGATCCTTGATTGGGGTTGTTAACCTGGGCTAATCAGGGAGCCCTGGCTGACCCATATAAATGGGCTTTAAAATTTCCACAGTTCAGGAGACTGACTCCCGATCTGGCTGGTCACATCCAGTGTACTGTGCACAAGTAAATAAAGGGTGACCTGGTGACAGGATACTAGCCTCTGTGCAGTTATATCAGGCTGACAAGTAACAGATGCCAGACAATGACCATTTCCAACTAGAGAAATCTAACCATCGTCCTTCACACTCAATGGTGTTACCATCACTGAATCTTCCACTACTATCTTGGGGTGTTACCAATGACCAGAAACAGAATTGAGCTGGGTAAGTCATATACATGCTGTAGCTACAAGAGCAGGTCAGTGGCAAGGAGTCCTATAGTGAGCCTCTCACCTCCCTAATCCCCAAACCCTGAAAAGTGTGAGGTGATTCATTTTGGAAGGACAAACTTGAAAGCAGAACACAGGGTTAACGGAAAGATACTTGGCAGTGTGGAGGAGCAGAGGGATCTTGGGGTTCATGTCCACAGTTCCCTGAAAGCTGCCACCCAGGTGAATAGAGTTGTTAAGAAGGCACATGGTGTGTTAGTTTTCATTAATAGAGGGATTGAGTTCAAGAGCTGTGAAGTTATGCTCCAACTATACAAAACCCTGGTTCGGCCACATCTGGAGTATTGTGTCCAATTCTGGTCGCCTCATTACAGGAAAGATGTGGAAGCGTTGGAAAAGGTGCAGAGGAGATTTACCAGGATGTTGCCTGGAATGGAGGGAAGGTCTTACGAGGAAAGGTTGAGAGAGCTAGGGCTTTTCTCTTTAGAACAACAAAGGATGAGAGGTGACTTGATAGAAGTGTACAAAATGATCAGAGGTATAGATAGAGTGGACAGCCAGAGACTTTTTCCTCAGGTGGAGGTAGCTATTAGGAGGGGACATAATTTTAAAGTGAGTGGAGGTAGATATTGGGGAGACGTCAGAAGTAGGTTCTTTACTCAGAGAGTGGTAGGGGCGTGGAATGCATTGCCGGAGCGGGTAGTGGAGTTGGCCTCATTAGGGGCATTTAAGCTGTTATTAGATAGGCATATGGATGATAGTATAAGGTAGGGGTGGGGGTTAGATAGACCTTAGGATTAGGGTAAAAGTTCGGCACAACATCGTGGGCCGAAGCTGTACTGTGCTGTATTGTTCTATGTTCTATGTCTATGTTCTAAAACAATGTTAACGTATTGGGTCCAGTGACATCTCTTCAGAACAAAGGATGCATCACTGGATCCGAAACATTGACACTGCTTTCTCTCCACAGATGCTGCCAGACCTGTTGGGTTTCTCCAGAAATTTCTATTTTTTTTCAGCAATTGCTTCCTTGTCAGTATTTTGCTTCTGCTGGTACAGCCTTCCCAACCCGAGACAGGCAACCTAATATCAGCAGAAATACTGTCACAGGAAGTCTATTACAAATAAGAAAACCAGTTAGACCCCAAATTGGAAATTTAGCCTCATGGCTTTCTGGTGAGGAATCTATGCATTTAGTAGATAGCAGCCTTGCCTCTGCCAAATAGCAGAAGACACCAACACATAATCTGATACTCAGTGCAGTACTGAGGAAGTACAAACCTGTTATAGAGAGGTCATCTTTCAGATAACATGCTACTCTGAGGCCTGAACCCATGGCAATATCAAAGAAAGTTCTCCAGGCATTCAAACTAATTTTAATCCCTGAGCCACACTCTCATATGAGAAACCTGGTGGTTTCACTGCTATCTTTTCCAGCAACTTACTGCATTAAAACTAGTTACAGTGTTTGCTTACATAACAGCAAATACTACTTCAAAATTAATTTACTGCCTGTAAACTGTTTTGTTCATCTTGAGAACTGAAGGTGTAACATAAACATATCTTCTCCATCAAATGTTAGTACTCTGTGTTGTTTTTGGTCATGTACCTTTCTGTCATGGTATATTTGGATAATGTTTTCTAAAAATAGTGTCATTTCACTTGAATCTCTGCATCATCTTTCACAAGTTGGTGAGATTTCAGGAAGCGGACAGTCTCTACAGAGATCTGTGACAAATTCACTGTCGTAACGTGAAGACAATAAATTATACTGAAAGTCAGTCAAACAAAAAGTCCTAACGATTTCCTTTGATGTTAGACTTGTAAGCTTGGTAATTGTTTCCTGATTAAGAGTGAGTGATGTTGGTAAATGGTAACAGAACTATGAAGCTTCCTATTGCTTTTCCATTAAGATCCATTTAGCTCATCAATTTCAAGGATATTCTGGGAAGAATTCCAATTCACAGTGACAAGTCAATTCATCAATCAATCTCTGTGATTTAATGAGCCAGATCAATCAACATTGTTATAACATACCATACAGCTGCTTGACTCATTAAATTTGCCATTTTGGAATAATCAAGACCCAATATTTTGCTGCCAATTATGTCACCAGAAAGACCCTGCTTAGTCTGTCCCTACAGGTTCTGCTGTAACTCTCTCAATCTTCATTGCTTTTTAAAGATGTAACTGGTTTTTGTTTTCCCTCTTCTTAAACACCCTCCAGCGATACCTCATGTTACTTCTACTTTGCTCCTCTGTACTCCTCCGAAGTTCCTTCGCTCATTCACCTCTGTTGGTTTTTAATTTGCATGTGCACCCCTTACATTTTTGCTTCAGCTTACCTTTTGTTTCAGGCAGTTAAAATTTTATGGATTTACTTCAAACTAATTTTCTCCCTCTCTGAGTTGTTCTTACTGCAGTATTTACTGTTTTGTTCAACTGAACAAGTGTTCTCCAAGATGTAACACAGCGTGGAGCTGGGGGAATACAGCAGGCCAGGCAGCATCAGAGGAGCAGGAAAGCTGACGCTTCAGGTCAGGACCCTTCTTCATTTTCTGGTCCTCTGATTTCCTGCTCCTGCTCCTTTCCTGCTCCTCTGATGCTGCCTGGCCTGCTGTGTTCCTCCACCTCCACACTGTGTTATCTCTGGCTCCAGCTTCGGCAGTTCTTACTTTCACCAAGGTGTAAGATGCTTTTGGGTGATTTTTCTTTACTGCTTTTATTACACTTTAGAATCTTCTTTGCAATGGATCTTGCAACTCATTTCCCTTTTTGACATGTATCTGGATCAGTAGGAACTGTATTGCTCAAGAATCTTCAGACAATGGAGCTCTATCAGTGTCTATGCATTTCTTAATTTAGTTAGCTCAATTCCAAATCCAATAGATCTGTCCTCAGATGGGTCTTGTATTGCTGGCGAACAATCTTTGACATCTCTCTGCCTCAAGTCTATGGATTAGTGTTTAATTATTAAATTAGATAACAGGAATCCTGCTGGAGCACAGCCATAGTATCCAACCAGAAAACTGATTATTCTGTCTAAGGGTCTAGAAGAATGAACATAAAATTCTCATCTCTGACTTTGCATAGAATGTTTTGTTTAAAATGTTCCCTTTATGCTTATTACCTACATTTATCATTACATTAATATCCATCTATGACCCCTTCATCAAATTGTATTTAGCTATATATTCAGAAAATCCCCATGTTTAACTCCCAATTCACGTTGATAAAACGGCTTTGAAAATAAGAATTTCTCACACATTTTCACTTTTGGAAGGCAACTATTGATCAGTCTACCAATCACACTTCCTCCGTAGATACATCTTGCCCTGTGACCACTCCCTTCAGAATTCATCATTTAATCTTTCCTGTTCTGAGGAAGGGTCACTGGACCTGAAAGGTTAACTCTGATTTCTCTCCACAGATGTTGCCAGACCTGCTGAGCTTTTCTGGCAATTTCTGTTTTTGTTTCTGAATTATAGCATCCATAGTTCTTTCAGTTTTTATTTAATCTTTCTTGTTTTCTACTTTGTCACAGATCTCCGTTTTTGATCTTTTTCCAACCTCCTCCCTTACACTTGCTTGAAAATTTCTAACTTTTCCCAGTTCTAATGGACGGTTATCAGCTGAGCAATAGCCCTGTTCCTCTCCCAACAGATACTATCATTTCCAGCATTTTCTATTATATAAAATATTTCCTACAGTCAAAAGAAAAGCACAAGAACAACTCTCATCCATGGCACCCAAGCCTGCAGTAATTGTCTCTCAGACTCTCTCGATGCAGACTGTTGATGCTGTTCAATTATCTGACACTCTCCAAAATCAATAATACAGTAAACCAGGAGAGTGAAAGGAGTGAGGAACTTGGTGAAATTATAATCACCAGGGAAGTGGTACTGAACAACCTGATAGAGCTGTGGTTTGATAAATATCCAGGTCCTAACAGACTTCATCCTGGGTTAGTAGGAACTGCAGATGCTGGAGAATCCGAAACAACAAGGTGCAGAGCTGGATGAACGCAGCAGGCCAAGCAGCATCATAGGAGCAGAAAGGCTGACGTTTCAGGCCTAGACCCTTCATCAGAAAAGGGGGAGGGGAAGGGGGTTCTGAAATAAATAGGGAGAGAGGGGGAGGTGGATAGAAGATGGATAGAGGAGAGGATAGGTGGAGAGGAAACAAATAGGTCGAAGAGGTGGGGATGGAGCCAGTAAAGGTGAGTGTAGGTGGGGAGTTAGGGAGGGGATAGGTCAGTCCAGGGAGGCCGGACAAGTCAAGGGGGTGGGATGAGGTTAGTCGGTAGGAGATGGGGGTGTGGCTTGAGGTGGGAGGACGGGATAGGTGGGAGGAA